AGCAGGCGCCATCATAACTTGTACCAGCCGGCCATACGACTGTGTCTTCTGGATCCGGCACGAACACTAAAAAGTCGGGGCCCATTGTGTGGTTTGCGATAAAGCTCTCCACTTTCTCTTGCATGGCCGTGATCCGGCCCCGAGGTACCGTGCAGTAGTAGGGGGTATTTTGCTCTCGGTGAGAGGCGGATGGCTCCGCCCAATCGTCCCCCTTCTCAACTGCGTGAGAAAGCCTCGCCTCTTGTAGGCGACTGTTTTTCTCTTCTGTGTCCAGGGAAGCATGGCCAGAAGAGCTAGACTCGGAATCGTCCTCTGACGAGTCCGAAGAGGACGACTCTTCCCCTCTCCCGGAGGGGCCCGCCTCCTCTCCTTTAAAAGGAGCAGGAGAGAATGTAGAATTGTCAACTGTAAAATGGGAAGGGGTCACTTTGACTCCTCCCTCAGAACTGTCGGCTTTCAAGCCGCTTTGTTTCACTTCCACATCTGGCGCCTGGTCAGATGTTTCACTAATCGGCACCCTGTGGGAGGAGCCGTCTGAGTTTGAGATCCTGGCAGTCTTTTTTGTTCTGGCCATCATGCTCTGCATAGACACAGATACAGTCGGACTTTGTATAAAGGGCAAAGATGGGTCCAGAAAAGGGCAGGCGGCACTCCTAGTCCTAGATTCAGCCGTCCCCGGTGACCGGCTGATCACTAACCTAGGTCGTGTCGTGTGCTTCCGTGGTGCCATTTCAAAAAAGAATAAAGTAAAGAGAAAATTAAGAGTAAGAGAACCGACGGTTACCTGAACGAGTGACGATTGATGAAGTTCTGAAAATCCTTTGCAGTCGGCTTGTCAGAGCAGGCGGTAGGCAGAAAGGGTCCAAAATGTCAGAGCAAGTTCAGGGGTCCGAATGTTCTCTCACAAAGTTTTCAAGTGTGAAAATGACCGAAGTCAACACTCCTTTATATAGGCGAAGGGTCACTTCCAGAATTCAAAATTTTGGCGGGAGAATCTCTCGGCCTCTCGCCGAGTGACACCTGTAGCAGGCCGTCGCCTGTTACAGGGCGATACCTGTCACAGGTAACACGTGACCAGTCACGTGCCACCTGTGAGGGGCAAATGATTAGGGGATTTTTCCCCACCAATCACCATCTGACAAGTGGACCAATCAGGTTCCGCCATGTGTCCGTCACATGGGCCAATAGGAGCCTGCCACGTGTCAAGCAATGATCCGTCCACTATGGACCAATTACGACACGACACGTGTCCTTCCCATGACACCTGGGATAACCGGTCACCTAGGCCCAACTTCCGAGGGAAGCCCAATCAGCCCAAGGTTAACCTAAACCTAGATTGACACGTTTCCCGAGGTTATAAATACCTCCCTTAATCCTCATTAAGGGAGATTACACACTAAAAACGCAGATTACACACATTAAACACTCTCACCTAGAGAGACCCAATCACTTTAATTTCCGCATTAATTACTCCTTAATCAAGTACTAACTTGACCGTCGGAGGCGGATCTCCAATCATCCGGAGCATCCGTTTGTTTTGCAGGTACAGGCGTCCGGTTCCAGTCTCGGAATTGTAACTCTCCCGCAGGACATCAGAAAACCCCGAAACAACATCAATATTAGTACGAACTATTTTATGTTTTATCTTTGAATGCTTTGAGCAATGCCCAATTAATATTGCATATTAACGAAATATGTTAATATAGGAGCAATGCCCATTTAATATTGCATATTAACGAAATATGTTAATATAGTGGCAATATTGCAATTTTGAAAGGTTGTTGCTATTATTTTATTGCTAATTTATTTTTGCTGCTGAGTTGGCAGATAACTTCACGTTATCAACAAAAGTTAACTATTCTTTTTAATTCTTTGATCTGCCTGTTATTCTGTATTCACAGACTCAATTGAACCTATTGTAGAAACACTATCTTCTTCCTTTCGCACCCCACTATCTTCTTCGTCGCGTTCTGCTCACACCCCACCATCTCTTTCGTCATCGTTCATCGTTTCGGCGGCTTCGCCGCCGTATTAAACAAAAAATCCTAACAAATATGGAGAAAGAAAGGTTATGGTTAACCCCAAACGGTAGGATTTGTCTTCCTCCTCCACTGAACATGTTTGTGAGCATCAAATTCCATTGAAACTAGACGACGAAGGACGATGAAGAACACACAGTCATTGTACTATTACAACCCTTATTTAAACGCCGGCATTTTGGAAGTTAACAGTCCTCTCACATGTTTATAATTTTACCCTTACTAAAAAGGTGGAAATTACCGATGCGCCCTCATATAAACGAGACTGGTTAATATGCCATATTAACCAAACTTTTCTCGAATGCTTTTGTAACAATGATAATAAGGCGATATGTTTCATTTTAAACTTAATGCAATAATTTGTAAATTGTAATAGAACATGTATATTTTAGATGTGACTGTTTCGCATTCATTTGTAGTGAGAGGTTAGAACACTAGTGACTCGTTACAAAGTAAACGACTTGACAATTGTTTAAGTGAGCTACTCATTGTTTAAGTGAGCTAAAAGTGAGCTACCCATTGTTTTCTTTGCTCGAAGCAAACGACTTGACACTAAAAATATAAAATCCAACAGCTAGAAACAGTGGGTCAGAGGTCCTGAGTTGGCCCAGTACTACCCAGCCCAACCAACCAGATAGTAAGCCCATATAACTGAACAGCCATCTTCGGTAGCCCAATCCACTTCCTTAATTAAACCTTTTGGCTTTTTTGGTGGCTCCATCGGCTTCTTTTTCAGGTTTAACAACCATTGATTTTAAATGATAAATGTCATTTAAAAAAATTCACTTACATTATACTCACAATTGATTTTACAAAGACTTCATCACTAAATTTTTCATCAAATTCAACAACTTATCAACTTCAAGTTTAGTTGACTATTAGCTTCATCTTATTTTCTTCTAGTGTTGTTGAACATAAATAGCATATCGTGTTCACATAACCTTTTCTTTTTACAAAAAAAAAAACCTAATGCATTAAAATAAACATTTTATATCCGTAAAATTTGCTCAATAAAATGTAAAGTTGATCTTAAATAAAAACTTATGTTGGCTATAATAAACACCTACTAAGCACAATGAGCCATAGTAGGTTGTCCAAACAAAACTCAATCAAGTTCTCGTTTGATTTAAATGTGTGTTTTTGTTCGTTCTTTATTAATGAAGGTTTTGATATACTTTGTATTGGGTTGTACGGCTATTAATGGCACACAAAGAAGTTAAATACATTAATTATAAGATCTCAATGGAAAGTTGTTTGATGTATGAAACGTAACAATAATTTGTTTTTATAGTAAAGTTACCTACTTAGCTGCAATAGGGCTGGGAGAACGTTGTCCTCGAATTGATCCATGCACTTATAATAAAAAAAATAAAATAAAATAAAAAAAAACAAAGAAATCAACATGTAAAAAGAACACAGGTTTTGTATGGTTTACTAATTAAGACGAATTAGCTATGTCCACAAGCAAGTGACATAAAAGTTGATCTTATTGGTGTTGAGGAAAGTAATTATTACATAAGAGCGGGTATATTAAACCCTAATAAAGTTTATTAGTGCGCCCAAGGCCTAAAATGATGAAATAGGCCGAAGATAGACCTAACACTGGAAATTGTATGTAGCTAGCACAATAGCTGTTTGGACATGGCTATCTGATTCAAGACATCTCTAACAAACCTCGTCATCTTTTTATTATTGTAATTGCTTGATCATTAATTAGTTTTTCATTCCTGCCTTTTAAAAAAAAAGTTTTCCATTCCTTAAAGTCTATATTAGCATTTAGAATCTAATTTGCAACTAAAATGTGAACGATGGAGTTTAAGTGTATGACGTATGCTGAATGATTTCATTGTCTGGAATTCTAGTTGACAAGTTTGAGAAAACCCACTAATTTAATAACTGAATCAACATTCATAAAAGACAAATGAAGAAAATACATATATATTTTTAAAAATGGAGTCAAGGCTTAAGATGAAAGTTATTGTAAGAAAGAATATGGAAAATAACACCAACGATAATGAAAAACATGTTTTGCCAAATCAATAAATTAATAATTATACTGGAAAGATACATGACTCTAAAGACCCCTCTATCTCTAAAATAAATCAACAAAAATCTAGAATTACCTATATCTTAAGGGAATACTATAGAGCAAAGCTTCTTAAGGAAGTTAGAACAATACCTTCTAAAGAATACACTTCTGTAAGATAATAAATCTGAAGAGTAGCGTACATTAATGAACAACCCACATGAGGCTTCAAATGGTGCCAAGACTGCCGACCCACAAACAATGTTGGAGAGGCTAGAGAGCAAGATAGATTGTGCGTAACATCAAAGATCCACTGGCAACAATGATAGCGGCGACGATATAATATGAGAAAATCTGATTTTTATTGTTTAGATGATATATTCCATGTATGAAAATATTAAGTTGATCGGTGATATTTATATTTCCTTATTTGTCTTTATTTGTGTTCATGTTTACATGCATGACAATATGATTAATAAAATAAGTTTGAAGACATTTTTCTTACTTTATTTGTCTTAATATGATTTAATTAGCTTATGGTCGTCTTTGAGGGAAATTGTCTTCCTTTCCCTTGTCAGCAAAAAGTACCTGCACTTAACAATCTCAGAGTATGCTCAACATTTTCAATTTTCTTTCATTCATAGTTTAGCGGGCAAGAAGTATCAGGCAAACAAAGCTTTTCATTGTAATAATAGGCATGTTTCTTAAAACTTCACTTAACTGTGATGAAAATTAACTTGAATTGAGTTCTGCATATTTAAATAAGTCAGAATCTGAATACACCAGCTCATTTAGAGAGTTCAAGTGCGTAAACATCTCTTTAACAACGAAAGCTTCAAAACCTTAAAACATGACTAATCGAGTTTCACCCAAATCAAGTCAGTTTTTGACAAGCCTCGACGAAACATTCCAAAGGCACCCCTTCCATAGTTCCATGGAGTTCCATCACTACTATGGAACACACTAGAAGGTTCAAGTTGCAGCCCAATGTGAATACTAAACAGGATCCTATTGCAATTAAACCACTATCTACAACACCGTCACAAATTCTCAAATTAAAATAAAAAATAAAAAGAAATTCACCAAAAAAACCTCGACAAACAATTTTCTTACTTTCTCTCTCCTCTCTTTCGCCTCCACCATCTATCCATTTCTTCCTACAGTCGACAAAAATTAAATTTTAAATAAAAAGGTTAATAGAATTTATATTCATCCCTAATTTTACCTCTTTTAGATCTTCAAAATTCATTGAATTCAATCCAGATTTTTGCAAGGAACTCTGATTTTTACCTCCGATTCATCGGTAAACGCATCGATTTGCCGGAAAATTGCAATTGATTTTGAGGAATTAGCGGAATTGAAATTCTAGGGTTTGAAGAAGAGGAGATTGAGAGAGTTGATTGAAAAAATTGATATGAGATTTGATGGATGAAGAACGATGCCGGAGCTGCGTAGTGGAGCGCGCAGAGGCCGAGCATCGAGAAATCCTACAGCAAACAACAATCAGGAGGAGATCGACGGCCAGAAAGTGACCGGAGGTAGGACACGTGGACGGCGTGGAGGAGGTGTAGCAGCAACTAGGGGAAACAAAGGAGGATATCGAGGTAGAGGTCGGAGGAATAACCGGCAACCGGTGGCGGCGGTTGGTGGCGGTGTTGACGGTGAAGGTGATGAGAAGGTTCTAGAAGAAGCTAAGGAATCTAGCCGTAAAACGACGTCGTTGAAGGCTAGCGCAGCTGCTGAAGAAAGAGGTGGTGTAGGATTAGGTTTAGGCGGCGGTGGTGCGGGAGAAGAGGTTGGAGAGAAAGAGATGGATGAGTTTGATAGTGGCGGTAATGCCGTCGGTCGAAGCGGCGATAAAGGTTTGAATGATGATGATTCTTCTGCTCCTCTACCTGAGAAGGTTTACTCCTTTTTCTTATAAATTGATTGGTTTATGTTTTTATTTGATTTGTGCTTTTGTTAATTTGCTGATAATTCAATGTTTTAATGTTGTACTATCTGTTGAAATTTTGAGTGTGGGAAAAAAGTTTTGAGCTTGATATTGAATTATATAGTTTTAGCAGTTTGAGGATGTTATTGTTATTAGGTTGATAGCCGATTAATTCTTGGGATGGTACTGAAGACTTGGGATTGGATCGCGAATTCGGAATTCTTAATACTCTTTATATGTATCAATGCCCTTTATTCATGCAGTTTAAGGATTAAATAAGTCTGTCAAGTAGCTGAATGTATCTAGTCTGATTGTTTTCTTTAAATATGGGCGATTTTCATTTCGTTTTCAGTTTATGAGTGCAATAGAATAAGTATATAAACCTGTTTTTATCGGTTATGTTTTGGTAATGTTGTATTTTTTTCCGGTCTTTGAGGGCTGGTGTCGTTTAAGTGTTCAATGTATTGATGGTTGGATTGATGGGAGGTTGATAGATTCCATGTAGGATGCATTACAGGTATGATTATTTTAGAAGTTGCACGAGGAGCACGATTGATACCGACTTTTCTCTATTCTTTCCATATCGGGGTTGAATTTAAGAATATTTAAGAATATAGCACTATTTCTTAGTTAAGTGTTTTGTGTACATTTGTTGTTTATCCCATTTGATTTATAATACTTTGGCAGTATGTTTGAGAATTGTTTGGGACTTTGGGTACATTTAGTATCTTTTGGTCTTTTGGAGTTGCAGCTGATTGTTATTTATTGATTGAAACAGGTCCAGGTTGGGGGTTCTCCAGTCTACAGGGTCGATAGAAAGCTAGGGAAAGGTGGTTTTGGCCAAGTTTATGTTGGTAGGCGCGCTGGTGGTAACACTAGTGAAAGGAATGGTGCTGGAGCTTATGAGGTGTGACATTTAGTATAACAACACATTTTGGCTCAAGTACATAGATGTTAACTTTTGTTTATCTGACACGTACTTTTTGTTGATGTACTTTAGGTAGCTCTGAAGTTTGAGCATAGGACTAGCAAAGGTTGTAGTTATGGGCCTCCATATGAGTGGCAGGTTTACAAGTGAGTCAATATCTTGCAGCATATCTGTGGATGGTGGTCTGATTTCTCTATATGCAATGCATATTTGTTGAACTAATTTATGCTTTTGCTTTGTATTTTGCTTCTTTTTCTCAGTGCTCTTGGTGGTAGTCATGGAGTGCCACGAGTGCATTACAAGGGTCGGCAAGGTGACTATTATGTCATGGTATGAGAGTGTGTGTGTGTTTCTATTATCTTTGTACTTCTTTATTCCCTTGGTATGATAGGCTGACATTAAGGTTGTTGCAGGTCATGGATATGCTAGGGCCAAGTCTTTGGGATGTTTGGAATAGCAATTCTCATTCGTAAGTAGATTGAAATGTCAATATTATTCTATTTTCATTATTTGGATATGATTTAGCTACTAACAGGGTATATGTTCTGAACTTTAACAATTGCAGAATGTCAATTGAAATGGTTGCATGCATTGCAATTGAAGCAATTTCTATTTTGGAGAAAATGCACTCCAGGGGGTAATATTACTGTCTCTCATTCCTTGTACGAGTTGTATCTATTTCTGCAACATAAAAATCTCACCTATGTTGTTTGTTGAAAGCAAGATTTGTTTTCAGCCATTCATCATAACCTGCAAAGAATCCTTTTGTCGATTTGTTCCTATTCACTAATATAATTACAGTTAATCTATACTGTATTGGATTGGTGGAAGAAAGGTGGGATTTTGATGTTTATTTGAAGTTCACATAAGGAGCTGGGTAGTAGATTAATGCAACATTATCTATTGATATGGATTACTTTTGTTAATCAGCTTTGCATGAATATTAGTGGTGGTAGACACTGACTTTGGGTTAGAGTTTCTCTGGAATGCAAAATATAAGTCAACTGAGCATCTCCTTTCATGAAGCTTTTATAGTTTAAATATTGTTGTTGGGCTATTCACTTTCTGGTGCGTGTTTTAAAATATTTTTCACAAACCCCGCAGTTATGTGCATGGAGATGTAAAGCCTGAGAATTTTCTGCTTGGTCCCCCTGGAACTCATGAAGAAAAGAAATTGTTTCTTGTTGATCTTGGATTAGGTAAGTCGACGACTATCTTTCTATGGTGATAGTTTTTCTCTTCTTCTTTATACCATTTAATGCATATATCCATTCCTTTTTCTTTCCTGCAGCAACTAAATGGAGAGATAATTCAACCGGGTTGCATGTTGAATATGATCAGCGGCCTGATGTTTTCAGGTTTTTGAGACTGCTCATTGATTTGTTTTGTGATTATTATCTTATTCTTATTGTTTAAACTCATCTAATCATAATTGTCTCTGGTTATGTCTTTTCTCTATTGCTTCAGGGGTACTGTTCGATATGCTAGTGTTCACGCTCATTTGGGAAGAACTGGAAGCCGGAGGGATGACTTAGAATCACTTGCATACACACTCATTTTTCTTCTGCGTGGCCGGCTTCCTTGGCAGGGATATCAGGTCATTACTTTCCTTCCATGATTGTGTATGTGAAATGCGTCAGGAAGGTCTTGTGTTTTTAAGTTAATAATTTGTTCTAATGAGGTATTTTAATACAGGGGGAGAACAAGGGATTTCTTGTATGCAAGAAGAAGATGGCAACATCTCCGGAAACATTGTGCTGTTTCTGCCCCCTTCCTTTCCGCCATTTTGTTGAGTATGTGGTAAACTTGAAGTTTGATGAAGAGCCTAACTATGCGAAGTATGTTTCTCTTTTTGATGGGATTGTTGGGCCAAATCCTGACATTAGGCCCATTAATACCGATGGTGCTCAGAAGGTAAGCATATGATTGTTAAAATATTGCTCTTGATATTCTTCTGGAAATTTTCATGAGATGCCGTAATGTTTAAATCATGTTCATATTTTGTGAAGTTGATATTCCAAGTGGGGCATAAGAGAGGACGTTTGACGATGGAGGATGATGATGATGAGCAGCCAAAGAAGAAGATTCGAATGGGAATGCCTGCCACTCAATGGATTAGTGTTTACAATGCTCGCAGGCCAATGAAGCAAAGGTAAAATTGCAGAAAAATACAGTGTAAAATGATATTTAGTTTGAATGGAATTCTGAAAATTGCTTTTGGATTTGTTCTGCTCTAGGTATCACTACAATGTTGCAGATAACAGGCTTTCTCAGCATATTGAGAAAGGAAATGAAGATGGCTTATTTATTAGTAGTGTTGCATCTTGCTCAAGTCTTTGGGCCTTGATAATGGATGCTGGCACTGGTTTTAGTTCTCAAGTTTATGAACTTTCTCCACATTTCCTCCACAAGGTTTCTTTTCTTATCTTATAATGTGTGTGTGTTGTGTGTTTCATTTTTATATGTACAATCCTGTAGTTATATTTTTAACTATGAAAGTAACCTATCTGGTTTTGTACCTAATCCTTCTCTTGTATTTGATTGTAGGAATGGATTATGGAGCAGTGGGAGAAGAACTATTACATTAGTGCAATAGCAGGGGCTCAAAATGGTAGTTCCTTGGTAGTAATGTCTAAAGGTAAGTCTAAAACTTTAGTCGTGGCTTTGCACTATGTCTTGACAAAGGATCTCACATGCCCTTTTATATGCTTTGGTTAACCTGTTATTTAGGTACTCAGTACTTACAGCAGTCTTATAAAGTTAGTGATGCATTCCCTTTCAAGTGGATTAACAAAAAGTGGCGAGAGGGTTTCTCTGTCACTTCCATGGCTACTGCTGGTAGTAGATGGGCAGTCGTGATGTCCCGCGGTGCAGGGTACGCTGATCAGGTATGATATTAACATTTGATTGTATATTTTAAAACCTAAATCCTGAAAAATGTGTGATGGTCATTAACTGTTTATGAATTTAGGTGGTTGAGCTGGATTTTCTGTATCCTAGTGAGGGTATTCACCGAAGATGGGATGCTGGTTATCGTATCACTTCTACAGCAGCAACTTTTGACCAGGCTGCTCTAGTTCTTAGTATTCCAAGGAGGAAGCCGACAGATGAAACCCAAGAAACTCTTCGGACTTCAGCATTTCCTAGTACTCATGTCAAGGTAAAATAATTCAAGAATTTGTGCTGGGGCTGCCTATTTCCAGGTTCTGTTTTTCTGAGTTTGCTGAGGATCTGTCTTTGTTGCTTATGCAGGAGAAATGGGCGAAAAATTTGTACATTGCTTCAATCTGTTATGGAAGAACCGTCTCCTAAGCTGCTAACCATTTGTCAAATACATAACCTAGTAGGTGTTATTTGAAGGATGCCATGCACTTGCTCTTACCAGTGGCCTTCAGCATTAATGGCACATTTTGAAGTTGCTGTGGCAGTTGTCTCTGTGCCTGTGAAACTGAGTCCTCAAATTTTCATGGAGTCTGCTGCTGATACCTGTGCACTTGATGTGCTGCAATTTATTGTTGGGTTGATGTCTATGAAATTTCATATGCAGTGGGATGGAGGCATTCTGAAGAGTTTGTATAGTCTGTGATCTTTAGTACTGAGTTGGTGTGTGCACAGGTCATCTTTCGGTTGTTGAAACTTTTTGGGCAATGTGCAATTAAAGATTATTCAAGGGCATGTACCCTTTTATCTCTTTTGATTCATTGGCAGTGTCTTGGACTTGAGATTCTGTTCTGTTATGTTCTGATGTAGTTTGCAAGAAGATTGACTATTGATTGTGTTATGAACTAGATGTGTAGAAAACTTTTGCCTCTCTCTTCATCTGTGTGATTTGTCTTCATTTTTATAGTTACAGTCACTGCAGTTGTCATCTCTCAATTCATGGGTTCTGGCAATTTGCCTTGGCTTTAGGGATTTGCTGCCTGTCTTCCACTTTAAAAGGTAATTGGATTTCCATCTCAAATAGTGTCTAAATTTCATTCCGTCTTCCCTTTTGTGGTAGTTGGCACTAGTTGTATCACTTTAGATATAGGCATTTATGCAGGTTTAAGACATAGTTAATGAAATGAGATTTTAGGTGATTTTGTAAGTGAGCTTGTATTTTATTATCGTGTTAAGCAGTCGCATAGGTACTTGAGGAAATACCTCACTGAAATTTTGTTGGGGTAAAGGGTATGGTTATGGTGTTTGAATTGGACTGTTGTGTATGCTTGCTGTCTGGTTTCCAACTATGTTAAGAGTAGGCATATGAAGTATGTATGCCATATCATTGATATAATGCCTTTTGTTATGGTGGTTTTGATGAGCGAGCAGTTTTTGTTTTGTCTTTGAATTCTATGTTATTGATATTAGCATGCTAATTCAAACAAAACTGTAGGTACTATTTTCCCGTCAATAGAGTTGTGTACTTGATTTAATCCTGCCTTAGTTGTTTGATTTCAGGGGCCACTGATATTATTCAGCAGTTTTGTGGCCTCGAACAGTTGAACATCTGTAGCTCTGGTGAGAATTCTCACTTCTTGCCTATACCCGAACCTGTAGAAGTGTATCTCAGTTGGTTTCACCAGTGATAGTTTTATGGAATGGGGATATAAATCATTTAATATCATTTTGTGCGTGAATATTTGAATGTGCTCATGGTAATGTTATACCTTGCTGTTTAAATGAACCGCACAAGTTGGGGTAGGTTATAAATGAACCGCACAAGTTGGGGTAGGAGTACAGTTTTCATGCATGCATTGTTTGCTGACAAGTTAAATATTGTGTGCAATAGTTCATCATTCTCTCCTCTGTTTTTTTTTTTTTTTTTTTTTTTTTTTTTTTTTTGGAATTGTAAGACGATCGTGATCATATTGCTTCCCTTAATCATCCTAAGACAAGGTTTTGTTTTCTGTGTAATAGTGTATGATCCTTTTTTTTTACATGGAAAATCAAAGCATTGGCTATTTTTAACACTAAATGTTCATTTGGGTGATTACAACAAAAAGTTCTTGTCACATAGGATGATCATAGCTTTCTTGCTTCTTTTATTAACAAAATTTGTGTGGTGACTAGTGAAATCTTGATTGTAGTGAGATAATTTCAATTAGCATTTTGGTATGCATATTAGGTTTTGCCTGATGGCCTAGTGTTTAGTGTTCACAATGGTTATTGTCATTACGGAAACCAGCTGAAGTATCATGTAAGAATTGTATACAAAAACCTGCTAGGTTTTAACCTGGTTTGGTGTTTCTCATTGTAGATGCTAGTACTTTAATTCTGTGATAATTGCTACATTGAAGCTTTTGTTCTGCTCACAATCTTAAGTACACTTGTAATGGTCATTGCTTTAGGCTCAAATTTGTTAATTTCAGCCTGCATTGGAATTTATCTCCATTAAAATTCTGATTAAGTTGGCAGTATTACGCAATTTTTTCATTTTCTAATTTTTTTTTTTTTTTACCTTGTCTCGTGAATTTTTTATTTATTTTTTGGTTTGGTAAGATGAAGGGCCTACAGGGCTAGAACCCGTTACGGGTTGCCTAGCTCGGGTTAGTGGGCTAAACAATTTGGGAGAGTGGGGGAAGGTAAGGGAATCCCACCACCCAAATTGCAACTAGTGGGAATTGAACCTCTAATCTCATGGTTAGAAGGTATTGTCCATTTCACTTGACCAAGCTCAGCTTGGTAAAAAAGATCCATTTTTGATTAATCAACTTGTGAATCCTCAAATGGTTGCATCACTAATACAAAGATGCTGTTTAAGTCTTCATGAGCTTTTGATATGTTGGTCAATGAAATCCTTGGACTGGTTGTTTGAGCTTCTCATTCTACCCAATTACATATGGTTCAACGACTATTCAAATTTTCTTACATTGATCACCAAGCAAGTATAGTTATAACTTATAAGTGGCAGTCCCTAACTCTCGCTCTACTACTATGTTCATACAAGTAAGCAACTAAACTTGCATCAAAAGCAAAAATTACAGCACCTAATTGAGTAATTGTTTATGATCGAAGTCTTCGAGGATGATGGAATCAGCCAACTCCAGCGGTAGAGAGATTGTGGGGATTGCTTCCTCCCCTGCACCTTGATTTTGCTCAATTATGCTTGAAACCTTAAGAGGATACGTCATTCTTACCTTTGTTTTGAGAGCATGTACTTTTCTTACCCTAAAGAATTGATGATGGTCAGATGTAGAAAATGGTATATAATATGTGCATAAGTTGCTTAAATCTTTTGAACTCACGGTTTACATTATAACTATACAAGTACAACAACTCAACGTATGTTACTACTCGTACAAGTACAACAATAACTCAAGTAGTCAAGTCTCAACGTATGTTACTTTCATGGGGTTTACTAATACTTCTCTCCTACATCATATTTCCATCTACTTAGAAGGTTGCATAGTGCTATCTCTCTATTTGGCTACTGGTTTTCTCAATCCATTTTATCACAAAACGAATGAACAAGTACATAATTGACATTTCTTCTAAGTTCAACATCTTTTATGATATTACCCTACCCTATAAAACGAAATTTAATAAACACCCTATTATATTTAAATTTTTTAGAAAGTGAGGGATAGTTAGTTAATTAGAGTTTTCCTCTCTATTTTAGGGGTCCTGGGAATAAGCCATTTTGGCTCTCTAAACACCACAAAAAATATTTGATGATTATGTCTTCCATATTGTGTGCCCAAAAGTATTACATACACATTCACTAATTGACCAATATTTATGTGTTTAAAACACATCTTTATACCCTATTGTCCACACCTTACAAAAAAGTATTCAATCGAGTTGAATTTAAATAAATTAATTATAAACTATTTTAGTAAAAATAAGTTTTAAGCAGGAAAATTCAATGACTTCAAATAACAAAAATAAGTTGAATAAATATCAACTAAAGAGAACAAGAAAAATAGCATGATTGCATGAAAAATGAGCAGGCGGTGTTTTCCAATGTCAAACAAGTGTAAAAGATTACCAATTGAGATTTCATCCTCATTCCCTTGCATTATATCCAAATAAGATCATATAAATTCCATCAAATTATAAAAAGTTTGTATAAATATTAATAAGTTCTAATAAGTTATATAAATTCTAGCAACTACAATAAGTTACAAATACATTGAGCTTAAATGGCAATTTAGTGTGCAAGTAACCTTTATAAAGCGAATTACACTGAGCCACTCTTATGATGCTCGAATAATACAAAATGCATATGCAAAATTAATAGCAAATTTGACAAAGTGAGGATAAACGCTTTTTATAGCAGAGAATACCAAGATGTGATCATGTAAAAATATACAGAGAAATTGAGTTGAAGTTGTAGACTGCTGCTTGGTAAAGCTAATGACAACCAAAATGGTTAAAGGATTGAATCTCCACAAAATTTGAATAATTTCATTCTTGACTTCATTTACTATTTAATGGCAATCTAACCTAATCACCGTTCTTAACCTCATAAGCCAGCTTATGCATACCCTAGGAAAGATTCAAGACGCCAGATCACAGCAACGATCATTTCCTGGTCTTTCTTGTTATGCTCTGCGACATAATCTCCTCAAGCGAACCTTTTCCTGTTTTAGAAACAACAGCAAGAAACAACCCAAAAAATCCAACAGGAAATGAATATTTACACAGTGCACATAGAAGAAGAAACATTAAATTGGAATGAGCAAACAGATAGTAGTACTTGCCTCACTCTTATCATGGTCGTACTGAATGGAAAAGATGCACCTGCAACCCCTTATGTCATGCATTTTTCGTTCAATATCCAAAATAAGTGCATCATAATAAATAGCTTGATCTTTTCGTTCCTGCATCAAAAGGTAGAAAGTATGAGCATGTGCCCATAAATAACAGTAAACAAAATCTTGAATAAATTTAACTACCTGAAGACAGAGCATGACATCCCCAGCTTTGACCTTTTGACATTCCCAGTTCTCCAGGGGGATCGAACGCTCTCGCACATCATTTTTCACATTAACCCACTCATCTTCTTCAGCCCCAAATCCCACAAATCTTACATGAACTTCCTGAATATATGTAGGTAACACTTGGCTTATGTGAGCAATCATCTTCCTCAAAGTAAAGCAATTATAAATTTGTGTCTTCTAAAGGCAATCATCTTGTAAAAGAATCAAATTATTACTTCTATTATGTGAGCAGTATAGTGTAGGAAAATAAGTATGAACATTTCGAAAGGCAGCAATTTTACAAATTCAATGCATGATATTGGAATGTTTCCAATCAAGGTCTAAAGACTACGTTACACAAACAACTTAAACATTGTTTGGGACAAAATTAGAAGATAAAGATACAGCAAAAAGAGAGGAAAAAAAGGAGAGGAATGGCTTTTCACTACTCCGTACTATAAATCTGATTGCCAAAGTGGGGAAAACCAGTTCACGTCAGGAAGGATACCACACAAGAAATGCTGGGCCCTATGGTTTAGATAAATACTAAAATCTTCCATATAGATATGGACTTGGTAGCAAAACTTATAAAGGCTATTTCCTCCAAATTTTATTATATTTCAGAAAAAAATAACAAGACTTATAGATCCATCATGTTTACTTATATTCTTGTTAACCTTGCTAAAAGTGCCATCCATTATTTTCCCAAATTGCTCCATTCAAGTTGTAGGCAACTGACAGGACCAGAAAGGGTGGGGGAAGGGGGGGGGGGGGGGATGAAGCTGAACGAGTGATCACTGTGAAAATTTTATTGGGAGAAGTATAAAAGAGGATGAGAGGCACCTACTAAAGATGAAAATGAGAATTCCACTACAGTTCTAGGCACTAATTCTAGATCACCATTGTAAATTAATCAACAATACCACGTAAACACACAAACTCGTGTTTTCTTCACCACTCTCCCTTCTTTTTTTGCTTGGAGATGAGAAGCTTGGGGAGGAAGAGACTAATGTCTTTGTTCCATCTAATTATCGTAAAAGAAAAAATTTGAGCCCTTTTTGATGGAGAGGGATTGGAAGGAAAAGAAGTAATCAATTATATTTAATTGCAAAATATACATGGGATTTGATAGAAAAAGGAAGGGCAAGGGGAAGCTTCTTCATAAATTTTATACATTCCTCTCTTCCCAACATTGAAGGAATATTGAATAATAAAAGATGTCTAATTAATTTACCCACTTAATCCTTTCACTTCCTTCCATTAAACTGAACTTTGGGAATAGATTTGTTAAGTTTTCTTTTCCTTTCCATTCCCCTTCCTCTACTGATATTGAATCAAACAAAGCGTTGGGAACTTACAGTTTCACCAGAGCTGAGAAATCTGTGGGAGAGGAATCTCTCAACATCATACCTGCATAGCAAAAAGTACAAGTGAATACAGAAAGGTTGCAACAAGAGCACAGAACTAGGAAATAGATGTACACAATTAAATGAATCCAAAATCTCAAAATGACTATTTGTTCAACCCCAATACAACCTAGAAATTTTTGGTCAAAGAATCCACGCTAGAATTATTTTACAGCAAAAAAAGTGATTGGAACTTGAAACAAACAAAGAGTTTCACCAACTCAATGTTTCAGATAAAGCAATGTATAGAAAGGCTCAAGGCGTTTCTGAGTTCCCTGGGTCTAAGGCGCGCCTCAATGAAGTAAGGTGCATATAATAAACAAATTTAAATTCTGAAAAAAAATCTTTGTGCGCCTGAAGCTGAGCCTCATTAAAATCGCCTGGCCTAGACCACAAAAGGTGCATGACCCCTAACGCCTTGCGCCTCAAAGCCTAGGCTGAGGCGCGCCTTTTCAAACACTGAGATAAAGTGCAAGCAGAGACCAAAAATTCACAGCATAAAAAGTCAGAATCCTCAGGCCACGATATTATAAATACAGCTAATGACAAGAAAGTTTCCCCAGTCAAGCATGAACAGTTATCTTCTTTACCAACTCTGTTACCTTCAACCATAAAATCTACTGCACAGTCAATTAATTTCCAAGATGGAAAATAAACCCACGGAGTCAGCAATTACTTGGGTAAAACACAATCAAGGTGTGATAAGATCCAGTGTTTCTAATTCCAGAGTCAGTAAGTATTGACACCATAACTTCAAGGTCAAGGCCATTGAGGTTTTCCACTTTTCCAGATATCATTTTCATAAAAGTCAATTGCCGAGTACATATGACATTGAACAATTAAGAGCTAAAAAAATCTTAAGAGGAGAAAAAAAATTGAACTTCGTGTAAAATACGAACTACACCATGTATGGCCTTTGATATTTAAACTTACCACGCTCCGTCTCTTGATCTAGCCTCAAACTCTAACTCTGATAACTCTGGTAACTTTTCCCCTGCTTTAAACAAAGACAGCAGAGTAAAGCACCAAAAGATTTCAGTTCAGGAAATCGTATCAAAAGAATAACCTAGACATTTTACAAGTGAAACGAATTTTCTAAGCTATTATTTATGCTAAAAAGAAGTGATGAATCTAAAGGTGCCTAAAAGGTTCAAGGACAAAAGGCAGACAAACTTTTTGATACATGAGGCAGCCTAACACAAGACTGCACAATTAAAACAGCTCTGTAGAACTGACAATTATATCTGCACCTGAAAGCAACAAGTTCTAAGATACCTGGGATTTACAGAAGATGCCTCTTCTTCACAGCCAAAGAAAAAACAGATATGGAACCAGCTTGACATGGGGCCATAAAAAGAGCAAAAAGTAAAAGATGAAGAGATCACAATAATACATCCCAATTAGTCTCAAGTACATTCTTAGTTCCCAATAAGAAGGCATTGTCAGATGGTATATATAATCACTGAAACATAAATCTCAATTTTATCTAACCCAAGGTCAAATTCTCAGTACCCCACTAAGAGGCCACCAATACTTCATAGGTATAAAATTGACTTTGCCCCTAGATGGGTACGTCACTATAGAAGTTATTGACCTTTTCTCTTTTAAATAAAACTAGTAAAAACAAAAAATTGCAGAAATAAAGATGTGAAATTTAGTCCTTGCTAAAAGAAAATTACGATAGCAGATTGACTAGGAGCAAGCTCCATTTAATCCAACTGTCTAGGAATTCATCATATGCAGCTTATGAATTCATCTAAACTCCAAATTAGCAAAATACATACCTTTAGGCACTTGGTTGGATTCATTAGTCTTCTTCAAGTCAGAAGCATCTGGACGAGCAGCCACATTTTTAGACACATCAGGTGAAGGAGTAATTTCTTTTTGATTGATAGATGGTGGAGCTGCTTTAACTGGACTCATTTTCTGCCTATTTTGGAACCAACTTTGCACCTAAGAGACACATGAAGCAGTAAGACTTACACATAAATTACAAAAGAGTGTCAAGGAACATATGAGAAAGAAAGGTATAAGAATATGGGAAAAAAAGCACCTCATCCCACTTTACAACAGGTTTCCCAGCCCGCCCAGCAGATCGACTGCATACATACAAGTTCTCTTTGAGGTCTATAGTCAAAGCGTGCAAATCTTCCAAGCTACTTAAAAATGTTGCAAAAAGTAGGGCGTAAAATTATTGCAAAAATTTACCTAATTCCCTTTGCAACTTTCACACAAAAGTCCCGGTTGACTGACAATTCTCCATATTCTGAAAACAAGCTTTCCAGCTTCTCAATCTGTCAATAGATATTAAAGGATTAAAACAATTTCAAAACTCCCTCTGTAATACAACAGAAGAGAGCATTGATTTTCTTGCTCACACAACAGTCGGAACTTGATAAAGATAAACAGAAAGGGAAGGTTTTTTTTTTTTTTTTTTTTTTTTTGGGGGGGGGGGGGGGGGAGGAGAATCAGATAAAGGTCAGGAAAGAATAATTTCTTCACAAGTTAGAAATTCTGCATTAATATATTTCTGTGCAGAACTTGCTGTAAACCCCTAACAATGACATGTGGGAACCTGTAGATCAATTATGTGATAGCGCTAATGATTCCCCCTTACAGTGCCTTCCTTACTACAAAAAATAAATAAAAAAAAGTACGTACTTGTACCACAACAGCAATATCAGAGCCTTAAACCCAATGACAGGGTTGGCTAAATGAATCAAGAAAACATCTCTTTTAATGATATATGCTCCAATAAGCCCAAATTCTTAGATATCAACATCCAAGTCAACTTTGTTCTTCTTTGGCTTCTTCTAAGATTCTTGTGCTCTCAACTCTCTACTTTCATTATTAGTATTCCAATCTCTGTCTTACTCCCAAACCAACACAATCAATTTCATCTTAAGTTATTCTCACATCTGCAATTCCAACCTTCCACAAAATATCTCCATTACTAAAATATAATCCTTAAGGCGTCCCCACACATCCATCTCAAGTTCTCAACATACACATCTATGCTAACCCAATTGCTAATCCCATTTGACTCACATATAGGTCAATAGCTCGATTTATCCATAGAATTGGTCTCACATACCTTTTCAGTAAAAAAACTTCTTTTTGGTAACTCCTTAACCACTACACTGTCACTTGACACCCTGTTAGTAATAAAAGAAGTAAGTGCATGTAGCAAGTGCAACAGGAAGCAAACTCATAACTTAAGAGTTCTCCCTGCACGAGCTAGAAGCTCACAAACTCTGTTACTAACCTAAACCTATAAATTTGATAGACTAAAAAATACTTGAAATATTCAATAAACATCACTCAGGAGGTCAAAACATAAATCTTAGTATACATGCTAGCACATTCATAGGTAAATCATTCGTAAGTTTAGTATAGCCTTAAAGTGAAAACTCAAACATTAAAACAGAAAAATGACATACAAAATTCAGTACACATTATTCGCTCATGTACTAAAACTTCCAATTAAGGCTTGTCTAAGGTAGAGGCATACAAGCAGTCTTCACAATTGCATGACTTCCCAAAGCATATGATCCATGATTAAGATAGTAGGTGAATCAATGAACTCCAGCCTAAAGCACCTGATTCATCTCCAAAAGATATGCTAGAAACATTATCAAACTAAAATAACCCACTAACAAGTCCATAATGAACAATAAAGTGTTATAGTTTATCTCTGGGCAATTAATACACAACCATACCACAAATGCCCAAAACATGTCATCCCCTCCCCTGAACAAACATCTAAAAAGAGCCAGCATGTCTTACAATTGAAGGGACTTAAACATTTTCTATGACATTTTCCTTTTTTGGTATGGAGAAAATTCCTACTAAACCAACAACTCTCATTCTAACAACATAGGTCAACACTTGAGTGAGGGGGAGAAAGGAAAGAAAATCCCCCACTCCCAAGCACAAATTGATTAGATGCTAGGGCTTTTACTTGTAACAGTGAATTCCTCACCATCTCCACTAAACTTGTTTGGTTCTTTCTACTTCGTACGACATTAGAATAGGAAATCATACACTATATGGATTCAAGAGAAATGAAAGTCTATGTTTAATACAACTTCAAACTTCCTATGACATTGATACAGGCAATTTCATATACTATAAAGATTCAATTTTCTATACCCAATAAAAATTCCAAGGCTAACAAAAAGTCGAATAAAAACCATGGAGTAAATTCAAGAAACCTCCCAATGAAGATGGTGACTTTTTATAATTGGTGACACATTACAGGACACAATTAGGCAATGCATACATAGAAAAACAGCATTTTAGATATCAAATTCTTGAATTAAACCATAGAATTCAACATACGAACACAAAAAATTAACATAACAGATTAACCCTAGGGCCTTTGATCAAAACCCAGAAAAAACACTAAAGCAAAACAGAACTGCCAACTACCCACCTCCCAAAAAATTGGGAATTCAATGTAAATTCATAGCAATACAAAAATTTACAAAATTTCATCAAAACCCAGATAAAGTTTCATAAATACAAAAATACCCAGAAAAAAAAATCCTTACTTCGGTATCTGAGAAGCCAGAAAAGACCTTTCTTTCTCTGGGACGAAGACGATCCATGGAAAAAAAAAACTCAGCAGAAAATTCCAAAACCCTACTTATTTTTTGGGTCTTTCCAATATTGAATTGCAAGAACTACAAGAATTAAGAAGCGCCAGTTTCCAGTCTTTGGTGTATACTTTGAATTTCATGGAGTTAGCAGAGAAATTCAATTTCCATGTTTGTTCGAGGGAAAAATGAAAAATGTGAAAGAGAATTATGGGTTTTTACATAATTATAAGTACGATTTGGTATATGTTAAGAGTTGATCATCAATAGGGGAGGCAAAAACTAACCCGACCCGAAAACCCGACCCGAATCCGACCCGAAAATAGCGGGTTAGGGTTGAGAATTTCGACACGAAAACTTAAATGGGTTGACACGAACCCGATCCGAAATTAAATGGGTTAGGTTAAGGTTGAAAATTTCAACCCGAAAATGACCCACATAACCCGAAAATAATTTTCGGGTCAAAATCAGGTCGGGTCAACCCGAACCCGACCTTATAACCCGAATAAAAAAGTCTTAAAAAAAAAAATCATTTTAATGGCTAATGGCCCAAGCCCAATTTAAAGTTCTAAACCTAAAAAAACCCTAAATGTGACTAACCCCCACCAGCCGTTTTTATCTCCTATTTTCTCATTTTGCCCTCTCTCTCTCTCTCTCTCTCTCTCTCTCTCTCTCTCTCTCTCTCTCTCTCTCTAAACTTCTCTGGTTCTCATTTTCTCAACAATCTCAAGTTCTCAGACACTCCACACTCACTCTTTCCTTCTAGTTCTTTCTCACTCTTTCGTTCTCAAGTTCTCAACTTTTCCCTCTTCTCACTCGTTCTCACTCCTCAACGCCTGAAAGGTAATGGTTATTAATTGTTTTTTATTTCGTTTCGTTTTTGTTTTGAATTTCAAGTTCTGATTCTGAATTTTCCATTCTTGTTTTTTTTTTTCAAATCTTCAAATCTTCATCTCCTTCAAGCCGTCAAACCTCAAACTCTCAAAGGTAATTCTTTTTTAATTTTTGTTGTTTTTGTTTCGATTTTTGTTGTTTTCGTTTCTGTTTTGTTGTTTTCGTTTCGGTTTTGTTCTTGATTTTTGATGTTTTTTTTTCGTTTCAATTTTTTTGTTTTCGTTTCGAGTTTGGTTGTTTTCGTTTTGGTTTTGTTGTTTTCGTTAGTTTTGTTCTTGATTTTTGTTGTTTTTGTTTCCGTTCCATTTTTGGTTGTTTTCGTTTCGAGTTTGGTTGTTTTCATTTCATTTTGGTTGCTTTCGTTTGGTTTGTTCTTGATTTTTGTTGTTTTTGTTTCTGTTTCAATACAGATTTGTATTTGATTATTGTTGTTGTTCTTGCATGATAATAGTATTAAGTTTGTATAACGTATGATGGGTTGCTTTGTAAATTTCTAGCACAATAATCCAATTCCTGATCTAATTTACAACAAGAATATATCTTTGACATGCATGTGATTTTTTTTTTTAATTTTAGGTCTGATTTAGATTATATCTCTATCTTGTTGTTGTTGACTTGTTGTTTATTTTATATTGTTGTTCTTGTCCAAATAATTTCTGATTTTTTGCGGTAATTATGGATGTTGATGTTTAGATTATATCTCTAGAAAGAATAGATCAGTTTTTGTCTCTTGTTTTAAAATAAATGTTTTATTTTGTTATAATTTTTGCAGTAATTATGGATGCCGATGTTCAGCAACTTTCTTCCGAGGAAGAGGAGATTGACTCGACAACACAAGACAAAGGAAATGGTAAAAACCAGAAAACTTCTTCTGGTAAACCTCGTGTGATTCTTACTGGTAAGAAACGTCAACGTCGGCTTTCTTCTGGTGTTTGGGTGAATTTTGATTTTTTAGACGAGCCTGATGAAAATGGTAATCTAATTTGCAAATGTAAAAAGTGTGGTATACATTTTAATGCTGATAGTAAGAATGGAACTGGGAATCTTCATCGTCATTTGAAAAATTGCAAACAAAGGTCTTTTAGGGATGTTGGTCAAATGATATTAGAGAAAACATCCTCTGGTTTAGGAAATAGATTGCGTGAATTTGATGCTAATTATTTCCGTGAATTATTATCTCTTGCTATTGTGGAGCATGATATGCCATTTCAGTTTGTAGAGTTCAAGGGTTTTAGGAGATGTTTTAATTATTTGCATCCTGATTTCAAACCTGTCACTCGAAATACTATCAAATCTGATGTACTTAAGATGTATAAAAGAGGGAAAGAAAAATTAAAAGCTGTTTTGGGCTCAACTTGTAGTAGAATTGCATTGACTTCTGATTGTTGGACTTTTATAACCACTGATGGTTATATTTCATTGACAGCTCATTATGTTGACAAGTCTTGGTGTTTGCAAAAAAAGATTTTGAACTTTTCTTACATTGGTCCTCCCCATACAGGAATTCATTTATGTGATCATGTGTATGGTTTGTTAAAAGAATGGGGTATTCAAAAAAATATTTTTTCAATTACATTAGATAATGCTTCTTCAAATGATGTTTTTGCTGAAAATCTAAAAGGGGAACTTGAGTTGATTTGTGGTGGGGAATTTTTTCATGTAAGGTGTTGTGCTCACATTCTTAATTTAATTGTTCAAGATGGTTAAAAGAAATTGATGAGGCTGTGTATAAGATTAGAGAGAGTGCCAAATATTGTAAGAGTTCACAAGCTAGGAAACAAAGGTTTTTAAGTTGTGTATCACATGTTGAAATTCAATCTACTAGAATTTTACAACAAGATATTCCTACTAGATGGAATTCAACTTACATGATGCTTGATTGTGCTTTGTATTTTAAAAAAGCTTTAATTCACTTTCAAAAAGTTGATGCCAATTATGTACATTGTCCTTCTGTTGAAGAATGGGGTAGAGTTGAAAAAATATGCAAGTTTTTGAAAGTTTTTCATGATGTCACACTTGCCTTTTCTGGGACCAAATATCCAACTTCCAATCTCTACTTTCATAGAGTCTTACAAGTTAGGTTGTTGTTACAAAATGAAATGAAAAGTTCAGATCTTTTTATGCAAAAAATGGCTTGTAAAATGTATGAGAAATTTGGAAAGTATTGGTCAGAATTTAGTACATTTATGGCTGCTGCTGTGGTGTTGGATCCACGATATAAGTTGCAATGTGTCAATTGGGGTTACATGAGGATATATGGTCAGCATAGTGTTGAATACGAGCTTGAGTTTTCTAAGGTTAAGGATGCTTTACGGAGGTTGTACGAGGCTTATGCATCCAGTCATTCTTCATCAAGCAATGTTATTCCCACTGCTAATGCTTCCAATGCTAATGAAGCTTCCGATGATTTTATGATGGTAAACAACTTTCTGAGTTTCTGTCTTTCTGATGTATTTACCTTTATTGCAAGTGAAAACATATCCTGATTTAATAATCTGATTTTTTTATAATCTGATTTTATTATAATCTGATTTTATTATATCTGATTTTATTATATCTGATTTATTATATTATAATTTGTGATTTATTGTATTATAATCTGATTTTTATTTTCTGATTTTTTGTGTCATGGCGTCATGCTACTCATATAATTTGATTTATTGTATTATAATCTGATTTATTGTATTATAATCTGATTTTCTTATAATCTGATTTATTATATTATAATCTGATTTTATTGTATGATAATCTGATTTTTATTTTTTGATTTTTTGTGACATGCTACTCATGTAATCTAATCTTGGTATATAGGATTTTGATAGTTTTTCTATGGAGCAATCAAATGTGGCAATCAAATCTGAAGTTGATATGTATTATGAGGAGCCACTTATCCCCCGAGGCACCAACCTTGATATTTTGTCTTATTGGAGAACTTGCTCGGTCCGGTATCCTATATTAGCTAAAATTGCTAGGGATGTTCTTGCTGTCCCCGTATCAACTGTGGCCTCCGAATCAGCTTTTAGTACTGGAAGTCGAGTGCTTGATTGTTATAGAAGTGCTTTAAAATCAGAAACAGTGGAGGCTATAATTTACTTAAGGGATTGGGATTTTGGGGAAGGTAAAAAATGAGTTAGAACTATTATATTACTTGTAAATTATCTTTTATTTTTAGTACATGTGTTGATTTTAATTTGCTATCTTTTCTTGTAGATAATATGGATCCTCAAATGGCAATGCTATGTGGATCCGTTATGAAGCTTAAGGTGGGGGACAACGATGACGCACCACAAACCTCGCCGGAACTATCAGAATTTGATGAGAATGCTTCTTCGAATATTGTTTGAGTCACAAGGACTAAAGTTTATTAAAAGACATTTTTTTCTTTTTAATTATGGTTTGTAATTTGTTAAGACTATTTTGGTGTGTTAGTGACTTAGTGTGTAATAGTTAATTAGGCATTTTAGACTATTGAAAACATTGGGTAAAAAATTCAGGTTTTGTTAACTGTTTGAAAACACAAAATTTGGCTAAAAATCAGTTTATTCAGCTAAAAAAAAAAATTAAAACAATTAACAAAAGTCAGGTCAAATCAGGTTGTTTTCGGGTTGACCTGAACCCGAAAATATCAGGTTCGGGTTGGGATTTTCAACCTGAAAACTTAAATGGATCAGGTTCAGGTTGGGGATTCCCTGACCCGAAACACGAAAACCCGAACACGAACCCGACCTGACCTGATCTGTTTGCCACCCCTAATCATAAATGTGCACTAGTCCGGCCCGAAAAGTATGCAGGCTTGGCTAGAACAATGAGGCCTATATTTTTTTTTTTGGAATAGTATGAGTATAAGAAAATATTGGAATGTATTGTGTCAAAAAAAAAAAGAAAATATTGGAATGTAAATAGGAAAATTTGCAAATTGCAGCCATTTAAAGTTTGTATTTTGCAAATTGCAGCCATTTAAAAAAAATTGCAAATTGCAGCCCAAAATTTCATATAAATTGTAAATTACAGCCCGATTCAACTAGTTCATCGCTTTACAAGTTGAAATTTTTTTTATTAAGGTTTTAGGGGCCATTTTATCCCTTAAGGATCCGAATTGAGCTCGGAGTTATCAAAAAAATAACGCAAGTATCTCGTTTTGCGTAACAAAAATGTATCGATTTGTGGGAAAGCGAAAATATGAGACACTTACGTTATTTTTTTGCTAATTCCGAGCTCAATTCAGTCCCCTAAGAACTAAAATGACCCCTAAAACCTTAATCGAAGATTTTTGAACATGTAAGCCGATGAAAAAATTGAATCGGGCTGCAATTTACAATTTATACGAACTTTTGGGCTGCAATTGAGGGCGATCCATTCTTCCAGCAGCGTAGGAATGCAGCTGGTAGGCTTGGCTTATCACCTCTGCAGAAATGCACCGCTGCAATAAGAATGTTAGCGTACGGTGTTGCTCCAGATGCCGTAGATGAATACATACGCATGGGTCAAACAACATCTAGAAAATCAATGCAACATTTTACTCAAGGGGTGATCAAGCATTTTGAGGCCGAGTACTTAAGAAGTCCAACAGATGAAGATTTAAGGAGAATCCTTCACCAAAATGAAATGCGTGGATTCCCGGGCATGATCGGTAGCATCGACTGCATGCACTGGGAGTGGAAGAACTGTCCTATGGCTTGGAAAGCACAATACGCAGGTCGTAGCAAGAACGCAACCCTTATCCTGGAAGCTGTTGCGGATCAAGATTTATGGATTTGGCATGCATTTTTTGGAATACCCGGCTCTTGTAATGATCTTAACGTCCTATACCGTTCTCCAGTGTTTGACGATGTTTTGAAAGGTCGGGCACCACCAATTAGTTTTATGGTAAACGGCCATGAGTACAACATGGGATACTACTTAACAAATGGTATATATCCGAACTGGGCAACATTTATACAAGGTATCACATATCCTCAACTCCAGAAGGACAAGTTATTTGCAGATAAACAAGTTGTAGCTCGGAAAGACGTTGAACGTGCGTTTGGAGTTCTACAGGCTAGGTTTGCCATATTACGACAACCCTCACTTGCTTTCGACGAAGACATTTTGAGCGACATAATGAAAGCTTGTATCATTATGCACAACATGATTGTCGAGGATGAACGACACAATTACACTCGTGCCGAAGTTTTGAGAAGGTATTATGAAGAAGATCGCCCTCAGCTTCATAGAGCAAGGTCCGGTCCGAGTACAAGTGCCACAGTGAATAACAACGAGCCTTTCGAATTTGACGTTGGCCGACCACCAAACGTTGATTTTGACGGGTATATTCAAAAAAGAATTACCCTGCGTGATAGCCAAACCCATTTTTCTTTGAAAGATGATTTAGTTGAGCATATTTGGCAAAAATACGGTCGTACAAATGAATAAATAGTTTTGTAATCGTTAATTTATTTGGTTTGTATGATAGGTGTACGATCATTATGTTCCAATGTTGTAATTGTTAATGTTGTACTAATGAAAAAAGAAATTTCGCATAAAATAATTATAAAAATAATTAATATTGTACTCATAAATAATTTAATCAATAAAAAAATTTAGTTAAGAATACATATTATTATTTTATTAAAAAATACATTTTGCATAAATTAATATTAAAAATAATTAATATTGTACTCATAAATAATTTAATCAATACAAAATTTTGTTAACAATAAAATTAAGAAATACTAAATTACAAATTTAATGATGTGTAGGAGAGATAAATATTGGTGGGGTATAGGGTTAAAAATAGGAGAGAGAATGGTGGGGATTATAATTTTTGATCATTGGTGTAGAAAAAAAATGACCAAGAAAATGCCCATGGGGAGGAGAAGTGAGAAAGTGGTTAGAGAGAGATTGGGCAACCAAAAAAAATGCCCATTAGTGGCAATGCCCTAAGAAAATATTGGAATGTATTGTGTCAAAAAAAAAAGAAAATATTGGAATGTAAATAGGAAAATTTGCAAATTGCAGCCATTTAAAGTTTGTATTTTGCAAATTGCAGCCATTTAAAAAAAATTGCAAATTGCAGCCCAAAATTTCATATAAATTGTAAATTACAGCCCGATTCAACTAGTTCATCGCTTTACAAGTTGAATTTTTTTTTTATTAAGGTTTTAGGGGCCATTTTATCCCTTAAGGATCCGAATTGAGCTCGGAGTTATCAAAAAAATAACGCAAGTATCTCGTTTTGCGTAACAAAAATGTATCGATTTGTGGAAAAGTGTAAATATGAGACACTTACGTTATTTTTTTGCTAATTCCGAGCTCAATTTAGTCCCCTAAGAACTAAAATGACCCCTAAAACCTTAATCGAAGATTTTTGAACATGTAAGCCGATAAAAAAATTGAATCGGGCTGCAATTTACAATTTATACGAACTTTTGGGTTGCAATTTGCAAAAAAAAAAATTTAAATGGCTGCAAGTTGCAAAATACGAACTTTAAACGGCTGCAATTTGCAAATTTTCCGTGTAAATAAGTGGACAAAGTTGTAAATTTGTAATGAAGTCGCGAAATTCACATTTTTACTTTAAAAGGAATTTCGGTGTTTTCAATTTTATCTCAAAATATTACTCCTCTATTTAAAATTAGTTGACATGTTACTTTTGATGTTATTTATAAACTTTACTTTGACTAACATTTGTGAGTTTTAATATAAAATTTTTAGTTATTTGAAAGGAAAAATGGAATCTAAAAATCTAACCTTTGGCCGGTCTCACAATAAAAATCCAACCTTTAAGTAATCTCAGAAAAATCCAACCTTTGCCCCCCACCTTCTCCAACAGATCCATTACCTGTTGATGACCGTTTTTTGTAAGTTATGTGCCACGTGCCAGTCGTTAATTGGTCAATAATTTTTTTTTAATCATTAAAAAAAAAAAAACCATCAGCCACCTCCCCCAGCCCTCGCACCACCCCAGTCACCTCCCCCACTCCCCTGCAATTCCCCCCCACCCCAACCAGCCCCACCATCGGGGTCGCCGGATTTCGGCGATCTCCCCCCACCCCTTGCCACAACCTCCCCAACCACCAAAACCCCCTACGATCTAAACCCTAACCACCACACCAAACACCCTATTCGACCTCCCAAACCGCCCGACCCCTCCCCGAACCTCCCCACCCGCACGCCGACCACTTACCGACAACTCCTGACCCGTTTCCACCCCTCCCCTCCCCTCCCCTCCCCACCCTAAACCTGACCCCGGTTTTCTAATACCCCTGACCTATTTTTGGGGTTGTGGGTTCGATTTTGGGGTTCTGGGTTTGAGTTCGGGGTTGTGGGTTTTGGGGGTTCCGGGTTTAATTTGAGTTGGGGTTGTGGGTTGTAGTGGTGGGTGGTGTCGTGGTACTAGGTGGTGGTGTTTGGTGGTTTTGTGGTGCTAGATGGTGGTGTTGGGTGGTTTCGTGGTGATAGGTGGTGGTGGTGTTGGGTGGTTTCGTGGTGCTAAGGTGGTGGCAGAAGTGGTGGTGGTGTAGAGAGGAGAGAGAAAGAAGAGGAGTGAGAAGGAAATTAAAAAAAAAATAAAAAATTTTAACCGGTTTAACAAGTTAAAGGTCAAATGGACCTGTCAAAGAAGGTGGGGTGCAAAGGTTGGATTTTTTTTGAGATTAATGGAAGGTTGGATTTTTATTCTCAGATCGGCCAAAGGTTGGATTTTTAGATTCCATTTTTCCTATTTGAAATCTTGTTAGATTAATTTTAATGTGTACTTAATTAAAATTAAATTTCATTTTTTTTATTTATATTTTTACAATAGTATTAATTAAGATATTTTCAATTAAATATATGCATTGACAAACATGATAAAGGAAATGTGTCAACTATTTGGAATGAAGGAAATACAATTTTGACAACGTGGACTCCCTTGACCCTTATATGTACATACATCTTTAGGTCAATGTCTAATATGACTTATGAAGGGTTTGACATAACTATGTAGTCTTAGTGGTCAAGTCCAACCCAACCCCATGGCTCGAAATGAGCCACATTTATTTATGCTAATGTTGATCTAATCACAATTACCACTAATAAACTAGTAATTAATTATTATTTTTTTCTAATCTTTTCATTTACAAAAGTACTCCGTAATATCTATCTAATCAAATTTGACCGTATTTGGTAATCTAACTAGTACAATATCTTATAAAGAGCATGAACATGCAACATAAACATTTTTGTTGCAATATAATTTCCTTTTCATCTTCTCACTTACGGCTGAAATGAATATTTTATGAGAGAAGGAAATTAGAAGCTGAAATGAACTGATTGGAGCTAAATTGAATTGAACTGAAATTAAGCTGAAGTGAACAGACCTTAAGTGGAATAACTTAAAAAAAAAAAAAAAAAAAAAAGGTGGAATTGCTTAAAATTTGGAGTTTAAATAAATAGGTCATGAGATACTTGAATAAAACTTATTAGGTTGAATAAAAATTAAAAAAAATATTTAAATGATGACTCTTGGATAAAATAAATCATTT